TTTTTTTTTTTTTTTTTTTTTTTTTGAGATAGGGTCTTCCTGGAGCCCCAGCTATCCTGGAACTCACTATGTAGACCATGCTGACCTTGAACTCCTGTGAGATCCGCCTGCCTCTGCCTCCTGAGCACCAGGATTTAAGGCATGCACCACCACACCCAGCTCAGAGCTTCAATTCTTCTTTTTTTTTCTTTGGTCTTTTTTGAGACAGGGTCTCCCTGTAGCTCCAGCTGTCCTGGAACTCACTATGTAGACCAGGCTGGCCTTGAACTCACAGAGATCTGTCTGTCTCTGCCTCCCGAGTGCTGGGATTAAAGGCATGCGCCACCACGCCCTGCGCTATTTTCTATTTTTTAACAAGGAACAGAATTCTGCAATTAAGAATTGAAGCTCTTGCCGGGCTCCATAGTAAGACTCAAAAGCATTTTATTTTCACTGAATTAGCAGTTCATTTACCTAATGCTTATAACATATTGGGTAGTTTATAGCATCTCTCCTCTTCACAAAAAATTTTCAAGGTACTTCATCATTATCCTTTTTTTTTTTTAATATTTTTTTTATTTTTATTTTATGTGTATGAGTGTATTGCTTGCATGTAAGTGCACCCGTGTCATGCAATGCCGCAGAGCTCAGAAGAGGGTTTCAGATTCCCCTGGAATTGGAGTTAAGGACAGTTTGTAGCCGCCATGTGGGTGCTGGGAACTGAACCCAAGTCCTCTGCAAGACCAGTCAGTGTTCTTAACTGCTGAGCCATCTCTCCAGCCCGCCCATTACCCTTTTTTTTTTTTTTGATAAATCAGAAAATGTCCCTACCTAAAACCCTTGGGTATCCTCTTACTACGTTTAGGAGGAAATCCATGCTGACCCTTGCTCACAGTGCCCAGCGTTATGATTCCATACATCAGATGCTCACAGCATGTTTCCACCTTTAGGCTTTAATGGCTTTTTTTTTCTCTTGAGTTAGAATGTTCTCTTCTTTGAGTGACTGATAATGACTCAAAAGTCACAATGTGTGTGTATCTCTGTGTCTGTGTGTGTGCGCCTGTATGCCTATGTGTGGTGGTGGGAATTGAGCCCAGGGCCTCACTCATGCTAGGCAAACATTCTGCCTCTTATCTATATCCCCAGTTTCCAGAAGTTAGCTTCATTTTTTAAACAATATTATGTGTATGAGGGTATTGCCTGCATGTATGGAAGTGTACCCATGTCATGCAGTGCCCACAGAGGTTAGAAGACTGTGTTGGATCACCTAGAACTGGAGTTACATACAGTTGTTAGCAGCTATTTGGGTACTGGGAACCAAACCTGGGTCTTCTGCAAGAGCAGCCAGTGCTCTTAACTACTGAGACATCTCCAAGTTCAGCGCAAGCAAGAACTGTGGAGTTGAAGACAGAGAGCACTGGGTACAAGAGGTAGAAGAGTTTGATTTGATCCCAAGCACCAAAAAGAGGGGAGAAAGGTGGCAGGGCCGGGTCCACAGGAGAGTTTGAGACAGTGTCTCATGTAGCCCAGATTAGGTTTGAATTGTGTAGGCGAGAATGACCTTGAACTCCTGATCCTCCCGCCTCTACCTCTGAAGTGCTAGGGTTCCAGGTGTGCACCACCATGCCATGCTTGAGAGTTTTAAATAAAAATTTGAAGTCTGTTCTTTTTCAGAAAGTTTTACATTTACTGTGTGAATATGTGTGCATGTTCACATGACTCTGTGCACATGTGGAGGTCAGAGGACTACTTGTGGAAGTCAGTTCTCTCCTACCATGTGTCCCCAAGGGATTGAACTCCTGTCTTAGGCTTGGTGGCAAGTGCCTTTACCCACAGAGCTATCTTGTAGGTCCAAGCTTTTTGGTTTGTTTGTTTGGTTGGTTTTTGTTTTTTCGTTTTTTTTTTGTTTTTTGAGACAGGGTCTCCCCGTGGCCCCAGGTGTCCTGGAACTCACTATGTAGACCAGGCTGGCCTTGAACTCACAGAGATCCACCTGCCTCTGCCTCCTGAGTGCTGGGATTAAAGGCATGTGCCACCATGCCTGGGCAGGTCCAAGCTTTTTGTATCTACAGTGCTTAGAAGAGGGCATGGACATGATAGACACTTCAGCTTTAGGTAAAGAAGGGAAGTGGGGGGGATGGACTACCCTGAGCTAGCCAGTGGGATCTCCTATAATACAGCCCTCCTTCTCTCCACCTTTAATTTGGCCCATCAGCCTGTCTCCTCCAGATGGAGCCAGTGAACTACGAACGAGTGAGGGAATACAGTCAAAAAGTCCTGGACCAACAACCTGATAATGCCAAGGCCTTGTATCGGGCTGGAGTAGCCTTCTTCCATCTGCAGGACTATGACCAGGCTCAGCAGTACCTGCTGGCTGCTGTCAGTAGGCAGCCTAAAGGTGAGTGAGTGCGAGGGGCATTGAGTGGTGAGCACAAGTAAAATGATTTTGCTGTCACTAAGAAGTCATCCATGTTTGAGGAGATGGAAATGTTAATTGCACTGGTCTGATCATTACACATTGTATACCTGTTTTGAACTATCACATGCATACCCAGTATTATGTATAGTTTTCACATATGTGTATATATATATATATATATATATACATACACATACGTCATAAAAAAATGAGCTGGGCATGATGGCATATGCCTTTAGTCCCAGCACTCAGTAGGTAGAGACAGGAGGATCTCTGTGAGTTCGAGGCCAGCTTGGTCTACATACTGAGTTCCAGGTCAGTTGGGGCTACAGGGAGACCCTGTCTCCAAAAATACCAAAAAGAAAAAAAAGGCCTGGGGATATAGCTCAATTGGTAGAGTGCTTGCTTAGTATGTACAAAGCACTGTTCATCCCCAACACTGCATAAAACCATGTATCGTGGCCCTTGCCTGTAATCCTAGCACTTGAGAAGTGAAGCAAGAGGATCAGAAGTTCAAGGTTATCCTTAGCTACATAGTGAATTTGAGGATGACCTGGGTTACATGTCTCAAAAAAAGAAAAAGAAAGGGCTGGAGAGATGGCTTAGCAGTTAAGAGCACTAGCTGCTCTTGCAGAGGACCTGGGTTGATTCCCAGTACCCACCCACATGGTGGCTAGTAACTCCATTTCCAGGGGAATCTGATGCCCTTGTCTGACCTCCACGGGCATTGTACAACATGGGTACATTTACATGAAGGCACTATACTCATACACATATAATAAAAAGAAAAAAGAGGGGCTGGAGAGATGGCTTAGTGATTAAGAACACTGGTGGTTCTTGCAGAAGACCCGGATTTGAATCCCAGCACCCACATGGCAGCTAATAATGGCCTGTAACTCGAGTTCCAGGGGATCTTATTGCCTCTTCTGTCCTCCTCAGCATTGCACCACACAGGTGCACTTACTTATGTGCAGGCAATACACTCATACATGTAAAATAAAATAAATTAATAAAATAATACGCCGGGCGTGGTGGTACACACCTTTAATCCCAGCACTCGGGAGGCAGAGGCAGGTGGATCTTTGTGAGTTCAAGGCCAGCCTGGTCTACATAATGAGTTCCAGGACAGCTGGGGCTACAGGGAGACCCTGTCTCAAAAAGACCAAAAAATAAATAAATAAAATAAAATATTAATAAACAAAAAAGAAAGAAAAAACATATGCAAAGGTATATAAATGAAAGTCTTCCATATCTGGGGGGGTCTGTTTTTTTTAGTTTTCTATTTATTATTATTGTTTTATCTTATGTGAGGATGGGCTAGGGTACATGCTTGCACAGCACATCTAGGGGTCAGAGGATAACTTGAAGGAGTTCGTTCTCCCCTTCCACCATGTTAGTTCTGGGGTTTGAACATATTTGTCAGGCTTGGTGGTAAGCACCTGTACCTGCTGAACCATCTTGCCAGTTCATGGCTTGTGCACTTACATAAAATGAAAAAATATTTTTTTAAATTTTATTATTTTCATTTTATGTAAGTGCACAAACCATGAACTTTATTAGTTTTAAATTTTATGTGAATGAGTGTATTGCTTGCATGTGTGTACGTTCACCCATGTTGTGAAGTGCTCACGGAGGTCAGAAGGTGTCAGATCTCCCTGGATCTGGAGTTATGCATGGTTGTTAGCTGCCATGTGGGTGCTGGGAATGGAACCCAGGTCCTCTGCAAGAGCAGTCAGTGCTCTTAAGTGCTAAGCCATCTCCAGCCCCATAAATAAAAATTTTAAAGAAATATTTACGCTTTAATAGGCATATGTATTTATAGACAACTCTTCCTCTTTCTG